AAAAAGTCTAATAAACAACACCATAGAGATTCGTGGATCCTTTAAGTCGTCACATTCGTCGACATTATTTCCTTGGTTATCGGGAATTCAACCCGCACTCGACTTCATTATACTCGTTCTTCTCCCGTGAGCAATCTCACGAGCGCCCGTGGTATGCCGGGAGAAAAAAGTACTCCACTTTCCTTTTCTCACATGTTTATCCTTTGTTATTCCTATTCGTCACGCGTTGCTTATTTCTATACGGTGACGATTTACAAAATATTCTATTTAAAAATCTCATTTAGATTAATTAATGCTCATTGAGATTCAACGAGTGATATCGTCCGATCATTCATACCTAAAATCTCATGAAACCAAATATTTGTGTTTACGAGCCCGCATCTCACCACCTCACATTACTAATGGGAAAATGATAATGAATTTTAGACGTGATTTTCGTCGAAAGAAAAGGATTTCGGGAGTATTGTTTTGTTTTAGTGCTCATGCTGTGTGTCACTTCGATGAGCCCATGATCGGTTGCAAGACAGAATGTGGACGGGCGTAATACTTACATCATGTAATGCGATTATACTTGGTTATTCAGTTGGAACGAGTCTCACTTTATCACTGTACATTCCGCCGGACCATCGCGGGAATCATCGGAGAAATGATTTTTTTTTTTACGATCATTGATCGTGCAACCTCGCACAATCACCTCAGCCACAAATAGTGACCTTTGACGTCACCTTTAATAAGTAGATGATCGTTATCACCAAAATCCATAAATTGCATTACGACAATATCACATCGCAACAATGGATGCGACTCTTCTTCAAGTAATCAAATACTGTGGGGAGAAGTTGGAGGTGTACCAACGTTGTGTGGAAAGTCACCCGAGTTCTTGGCAGTCCGAGTGCCTTGAACAAAAACGCCAACTTACCAAATGTTCGGAGGAGAAGTAAGTAGAGTTTTGGGTGAGTGAGATTGAAAACAAAAAAAATTTTTTTTTTTTTTTGAACGACCTGTCAGTTTTATGAACGGAAATTAGCTTTTTTCTCCTGGACCTGATTGATTTTATTGCCCTCATTATTTATGCGCGCCTATCTATCTGTCTATCTATCTTTATTATCAACACATAGCGTTCCGGAGATAAAAACAGTTAAACAAAAATGTCATCATGTTATAATTGCATTTGAAGAATGTCTATCAAAAAATGTATCGGATCCTGAGGTTTGTCGGGATAGATTAAGAGCATTGTACGAGTGTACCGAGGCAAACGTTGGCGGTGTCGACGGTGGTGGTGGTGATGATGATGATGGTGACGGTGATGACGGTGACGGTAACAAAAATGGCACGTACTTTTTTTTTTTTTTTTTGAATTCTTCGTGTCACGGCGGATCGGCATCTGAAAATGAGTTTTCAGAGCCTCTGGCTAACCCATCGTCATCTGGCTACTTTTTTTTTCCAGGCTTATAGAACATCAGATCAAATAAGACGGGATCTTTAAACTTCCCTCCTCTGTCAAAAATATACCCCGTAAATTGGTCACCCTTCTTCAGTATCATAGCAGGAAACCTTTTTCCCTTTGGAGCCTCGTGACCGGATTCTCCTATTTAATGTGTACAATTTCAATTTAATGAGTGCATAAAAAATTCAATTGGCGCTGTGCCGATGGATGACGAATATCGCTCACCTACTCCGCTGAATAGCTTTTTGTCGCAGTGCAAATCTTTGATGGGAATTATCCTTGTACGCAAGAAAGGTAGCTTCATGTCATTCTCGATCTTGGCCATGATATCTTTGTTCTGAATGATGCTCATCCTGGAGACCATCCTGACCACACCAGAGCGACACCGATTAAAGCGATATTAACTCACGTTCCCACATCACAAAATCTGAATCAACTTACTTATAAGGAAAAAATAATATCATGAGCACAAATCCGATGCTGAGTGAGACTACGAATGTCATGTACTTGATTTTAACCGTATTATCAGGTTTTTTCCTGTACATTTTATCAAGTGTAACCGTGTGTCAGTATCAGTTGATGATGATCTTTAAAGTTTATTCCCCCTTTCTTACCCTTTATCGGGAGATGAACGTAAAATCGCGTCCAAGGCAAAACCACTAGTAATTTACATACGCATCGGTGATTGTGATTATCATATCTGGTTCGGGTCAACCTGTAGTACTCACCAACATATCAATTGCGCGACTGCCGTGAGATGCAAAAGCCAACTGGCCCTTCCATAAATTGCGGGAGCTTTGTACATTTCAAATTCTTTGTTCTTGAGCAAATTTCGAACCTTTTCTTTAAGCGCTTCGCGTTCTTCCTGATTTTTTGGTCTTTGCGCTGTCAACGAATTCGTGGTCGCCATTTGCTTGATAGGTGATCGAAAATCGGATACGAGGAAATAGGTCGATGGGTGAGGTGGAGTGGTTGTCGTACCTAATGGAAGGTGAGAACGCATCCAGAGGCATCGATTTAATACAAATGTTTTTCGGTTGTTGAGCAGCCGTGGCAGCAGCATGACTTTGTTCATGTTCCCCTCCAAAAAAAAAAAAAAAAAAAAAAAAAAAAATTATATTGTCGAGCGGTAAGTGGCTACTCATCACATCTGATCATTGTTGGTCCCGTTTTTGGAAGTGATGAGCCTTTCCGGAACATCTCCTCGTCTCACAAACTGTTCCGTCGCTCGATTTGGAGCCGAGGTAACGGTGACGTGATATCGATGATCTAATCCAATCCGGAGAAACGGGCCGAGGGATGTCATACAAAGGATGGCTTTTTGCCCTGTGTATTTAGGGTCTCCGTACGGCACTGCCCATTGGGACTTTCTGTTCTCACACTTTTGGTCTTCTTCGCTAAAAGAACAAAAAAAATTTTTTTTTTTTATAAAATAGACTAATAGACGTGGGCTGGAATACCACGAACCATAGTACAGCCTATATCATATCATTTTTTTTTTTATACCTGTTGGGAAGTAAAAGTAACAGACATCGGATATATAAATTGCGATACAAAAAAAAAAAAAAGATATGCCTTTAACCGTTCTACGACCGACCATAGCCGACGTGGTAAGTGACGCACAACTTCTCAAAGCCGTCGACATTCTAAAAGAAAAGACATCGGCGTCTGCTTACTCGTTGGCAAGTGTGCTGAGTGTTGTCAAGTACGTGCTTAACCAACCCTATTTCCCGGAAACCGTGTTCGGAAACAAAAAGACTGTCGCCTTCGACTTTAGGGGACAAAATTACATTGTCGAATTCACAGCATGCAAGAGCCCTAACGAAATCAATGCAACGCCCATGGACGTTGATTCACGTCTCGGAAACAATGGCCTAAACAACCATGTTTCGCACGCTTTGTCCACCTCCTCCCCCACCTCCACTTCCTCTCAAATATTACAACCTACCATCGCCGATACCCTCGGCGATACCAAAACCCTCGCGCTCATAGAATTACTTCAACGAAAAATCAAAGAATCACCTATTAAACTTGCCAGTTTGGTGTGCATCGTTAAAGCCGTACTCGATGAGGTGGGGTTGAAGGGTCGACTTTTTCAAAATAAAATAAAGTTCTATTTTAATCAGCAAGAGTACATGATAGATTTTGACGATCAACGTCGACACGATGATCTCGACCATCAAGGGGTCGAGTTGAACGGGAGCAATTCGAACATTCCGCAACAAGAATTAAACCTTTTCAAGAACTCGGATGTTCATCACGACGAGGATGAGGACATGATGGACGAACTGGAGAAGGATGAAATTGTGGAGGAGCATCCGCAAGACAACGAATCGTGGCGCACGCACACTCCAACTGTTACCAAGAGAAAGCGTACCAGTGACAGCCCAAATTCTGACGACGATCACTGCGTCCAGCAGAGCACGTCCGCCAAGAGACGTTCCACGGACAAACACAAAGCACCCCCTTTGAGTAAGCTACTCATTCCATTTTCCTGGTTACAATTTTGTTAACAGGTTTGCGAACACAGTTAACAGGTTTTCATTGTCTTCCCTCCCTCCCGTAGGTTGTGAAGCTGTGAAACGACTCTTCACCACCATCACCAAAACCACCTTACTCCAGAGGCTTGAAGAATCGAAGGTATTGATTTCCGCCATCAAGGAGAGTTACGCAAACATTCGACCATCCACATCTACGAAAATAAATTCATCCCCACGTCTGAATCTCTTATGCCATCTTCTGCAATCACCACCAACCTCTCGAATCGACGGTATCTCGTCCAAAGTTTTTTCGAACTTGGAACTTTACAAATTATTCACAACATATAACTCCTATAAGGAAGAGGTGCTACAACACGACGCTCTAAGCTCACCCAACAAACGAAATCAGACCTCACCTTCATCCGACCAAACACCACAGATAACCTTTCCGACGTACTCCTCGTTCATCGACCCTACGGTCACCCTACACATCAAGGAACAGACCGGGGGTAGAGAGGTCGGAAAGCATCGTTTAAATTGCGCGTGGAGACTTAGCATACTATGTGAATTGCTGGGCAAGGGCGTGTTACTGATGACCAAGGAGTTGAGTGGTGCAAAGTTGGAGAGGATTCTTGTCGAGGAATTTACCAAATTGGTGGAGTTTCTGAAAAATCCGGAAAATCATGACTGGGTTGCGAATGTGAGGGAGAAGATGGAGTTGTCTGGTTTCGATGAGGTCTACATACCTTTGGCTGAGGCGGACATAGATAATAGTGCAATAGCTGGATCGCCGGTTGTTAGTAATAATAATAGTAATAATAATAATAGTAATAGTAATAACGGTAGTAATGAAGATGAAGATCATGCAGAAATGAAACCCAATATTGGGATCAATAGCAACGGTGGTCTTATCACATTTGCAATCGAACCGAATATCTCCCAACACAACATCTCATCGCAAGTAGTTGATCCGAGACTAGCCATTCCTCCGGAGGATGAGATGATGAATCCCGGACAACATTATACGGAAGTCGAACAAAAGAGTGACGCTGTTTCAACTGTGAGGAATGGACGCCCGATCACCTTTATCAAGGGTGGTGCCGTGCGGGCAGAGGGTCAGAAATTCTGAGGGTGATTAAAGGGTTAAAAAAAGAGTTGACATGAAAGTAATAAACCCAATTTTGGCATGAGCAATCGGGTGGCGGATGATTGAAAAATCAAAACACACACACACAAAAAAAAAAAAAAAATAATAATCTTTAAATCCACGTAAGGCCTTGTATAGATTTCTTTCTTATTCGAATAACATATCATCTTCAAATCTTGTATATAACATTAGTCCTGCATGTCGATGATACTTTGGAGATTTACTTTTATTTTATATATACACTCTCACACATTTATACTTTTTTTCCTTTTATTTTTTTTCTGGAATGGGAATGTCACTGGGATTGCAGCACTCTCTATTGTAGGAGTTGAATTTAACTTGTATATTCCATGCATGTGATCACGACGTCCTTCATGTCACGCTCGTGAGCTTAGCTACTTACGCGTGATTAAGAGCAATCGTGATTCAATAAGATGCCGGTATGTCGCTCCCCAGAGACAATTACGCCTCCTTCCCGGCACAACGGTGAACACAATAAAGTGCCACACGTTGGATTTTATGTGAATGCATTCCACACTTTAGTTTCACCCCCCCTTTTTTTTTTATTATTCTTCAATAGAGAAAAAAACATCTCTTGCTCGAGATTATGAACCATCCGGTCACAAATACTTTGTAATTTTTAGTTGAAATGTCTTTAATAAACACGACTATATATATATGTATGTATGTAATGTATGTGTGATAAAAAAATGTTGATATTACAGATTGTTTCATATTCTACACTGTGAATTGATGATACCACGAGAAAATAATAATACCGTTACCCTTCCCACATGCCATTCTATAAAATTACATATTTAAAAACATGTACATATCGATTTGCTTAGTTTGCAAAATATTGATCTAAAGTTCCAATGGTGTATTCGATGGGCGCATAATTTTTAGCATTGCCATTTGATAATCTTCCGATCTCATAGACAGCCCAGGTACCGTCAAGACTATTTTTACCAACACAACACATTATGACAGCCTGCGAATTCGCAGCCGATTGAATTGTGTAGGTGCACAGATTTATGTGAGGTGTTGTGGTATCATACATTCTAAAACTTGGGTTCGGAAAATGTCCAATGTTGGGTGAATTCCACGAGGAAAGAATAAAGTAAAGTTTCGTCACATTTTCCGGAAGATTCGCCAGATTTGCCGTGATACGATGATGACCTTTCATTGATTGTGATGACGAAATGTGATCATCAATTAACGCTCGAAATCGCAACGCGATCTGCAAAATATTGTTCGACCAAGGGAAAAATGAATTGATTACCTCTTCGATTCACATGATCCATCACATCGCCGGAATGTTTCATGTCAGCGATATCGGGATAAGAGGTGGACTGATAATCATATTTTCTCCAATGCGCATCCCCCATGTAAAGCATACATGTGCCGTCAAGATAATCACATCCGGTCGACGGATATCCCCAATATAGATC